ATCCTCCGGCAGCGGGGACCAGCTGCCCACGGTATCCCGCTCAGCCTTTATTGGGGGTTTGTCTAACCATTACACTTTGCAAACTTGCCTCTTGCCAGGCACATGTACGTGCAAAAATAGCTCCTTTTCCCGCAAAGATTTGCTCCCTCGAGGAGTTTGCAATCTCCTCCTTGTATCTGCTCAGTCTTTTGAATAACTTCTTCACAGGTGATCACCTAGTTGTTCATTCAGAGAAGCAGCTCTCTGCATTCCCCAATCCTCCCCTGAACTCTCTTAATCACTTTATGTTCACACAGCTTACAGGGCATTCGAGAGCTGGGGAGGTATTGGCGTACTGTAGTGAAACGCCAGAAAAAGGGGCTAAGACAAGGTCTCATTGAAGACAAATATCTTTCACTTCTCTAACACTTGCGATCAGCCTGAACCAGGTGAATCTCCAGAACAGCTCTGCATTTCCTCATACATTTCTGGTATCTGTCACCCCAAAAAGCGGGTAGCCCTCGCACTCAGCTGCAGCAGAGCCAGCCTCAGAGTAAAGCACCAGCCACCCCCAAAGGAGCCAAGTCACAACACAGAGCAAGCTTCGAGAGCCAGAAGCAACCACCTGAATGCATCAGCAAATGAAAGGCAAAAAACACGGGGGCTAGCAAGAAGAAAAGGCATTTTACTCTGTGAAAAGGCATTTCCTCTAGGAAAAAGATGTTCTAGGTAACAACATGCAAAATAGATTTTCTAGGGAGATCTGCAGACAGACAGACATGGATCACCTACGGGGTCAGCATTTAAATGCAAACACAAGTTCTGCAAGCTGCACAAACTGCTCTTGCTGGACTATCCAGCCACTGTCACAAGGCGACAGCAAATCACAAGAATTTGTTGCTAAGCCACCATAATTTATTTTTCATCTATTTTTCAGTTTCGGAGATTGAGCATCGAAGTACTTAGGTTCACAGAGCTATGCTGCAAAAGGAGGGATGGAAGATAGGAGGATACTTTCAGGAGGGAAAAACAGCCCAATAGTCACACGTAAGGACAGAAACAAGCGGCATGATGCAGCGCGGTGGCACTACAGGTCATCACAAATTCACCATGCTCTTATTTAAGAGCTACATACTGTAAAGTGCCCTGAAAATCCTTTGGCAGTAACTACCTGACACGGAGCAGCACATATTGCTAGTTGCACTGCACTGCATAAAACGATCCTGCTAATGCCAGGTTGCTCTGCTGCCCACTCTGCAGCAGGCCAAGCAGCAAAGCCACAGCCCCTGCCTAACAGCAGGGAAGAGGGCTGATGTGAGGACACGCCAGTAAATCCTACCTGCAAGATCATCTCACGGTACTGCAAAGCATCCTTCAAGAACGCTCCCATCAGAGCTTATTATTACAATCCTTAAATTAAGGCCACCAATGGAGCTAGTTTTCACCAGGATGGGCAGCATTTCTGTGTGCCATACCATTGCTCACAGGGATATTTTTGAATTGTTTAGTAATCATTGGTCAGAAATTCTGCTTTTCTCCCTAAAGAAAAATTACGCCTTGTGACAATGCTAACTTCAGTTCAGTTTAAGTGACACCAGGCAAGCACAGGCTGCCTGCCTGCCAGCATCTGTCAGAAACCTGGTTTTACCTCTCCAAACAGCCTCCTTTTGGCAGGAGGTGCACCTGGGACTCTGCCACCCAAGGAAGAGCTCTGGGTGCTGCAGGTCTCCCCAGCAATGGGAGAGCGACTGCCCCACTGCCACAAATGACTGTGATGAAGGAACAGCTCCATTTGTGGTCGTCCTCCTCCAGAACTGTCTTTTGTGCACAGTTTCATCGCAGGAAAATGCTTCTCCCAGAGATAGTATCAATCACACCCACATCGTAGGAGCTTCCTCCTCTGCTCCCTCGATACCTGCGGAGACACTCGCGTGGCAGCAGTGGAAGCCAAACGAAGCCCAGTGAGGAAGGCCGCAGCTCGCCCGTCTGCGTGCCCGGCTGAAGAGACAGCAGTGTTAATTACTCCCTCCAAGAGGGAATCGCATTAGCGGTTTAATAATTGCATGCCTTCTGCATTCAGCAACTTCCCTCTGCACACATCTAATCAGCATTAATTTAAGTGCAGGGTAATTAGCGGATGCACTGATGGACAGGTGATGAAGCGATCCCTGGAAATTTAACCACTTGATGTCCTGCGTGCAAAAAGGAGCAGCGTGCCCTGATGCTGGGAACTACGGTGAGAAAAAACACTCTTTGGCAGCAGCAATGAAATCTTATCATGAGCAGCAGCACAATATTAAAAAAAAAGCATAAATACATTTTAGTGCAGAGAACGGATTCAGACATTTGGGTCTCTTTCCTTCTCAAGGAGGAGAGCAGAAGAGGGTCAGGCCCTCCCAAGGAGTGACTCCTCAAGGAGCAGCAAGGCCCAACACCGCTCCTGGCCACAGGCGTCCTCAGGAGATTTTACATGCAACAACCTCTCCTCTCTTTGCATTTTACAGGCACTCAAACAAATACCAAACTGGAAACAGTCAAAAAGGCTGTGGTGAAAGGGGCCAAGTGTGAAAGCAAGATGAACACGAGAATGTGACTCTTCTGTCCGCTGTGTTTACTTTGTGCACTTGCATATTGCTGACCGGATGCCTGACATTATTCTCTGCCATGGTGCCAAATTAGATGATGTGACATTTTAATAATATGCCTCAATGTCATTAACTTGTTAGATTGCCACTATAAGCCGCCGCTATAACTGTCAGTTATAAAGCCTCTGCTTTCACTAACATTTTTATGTTCTAGCAAATACTTTGGCCTTCTCCTGGGTATTATTAATATGCAATTAAGTTTATATTAAAAAGGAAAAATATAACATTATTTTGATTCATTTCCATTAAGCACCTCACAGAAGCACCCCTGAGCATTTTAAAACATGAATGCCCCCAGCTATAATTTTTATAAAATACACTTTAATCTTCAGCTCTATAACTATTTAATGGTTTTGTCAGGAGCAATTTTTCATTACAGGCTCTCTCTGTATTCGAAGCTTACCTATTTCAATGAATATTTATAAATAAATACATTTATTAAATATGTCTTTGCTTCGCGAGCCTAGGAAAAGGCTATTAATCACCCGACAGCAGGAGCACCAAGCAGTACCTGCTACTGCTCGTGGGCACCGCACACAACGCTGCAGGCAAGGGTGCCTGTCGCCGCACGACGCGGCGGCACCCGCGCGCACAAGGCCGTGCTCTCCCACACTTGCTTTGCTCCCCTCTCTCCCACCTCTTTTACTTTAAAGCAGCTGATGTAACAGGCTGTATCTTCTATTCTTACACCACTGTTTCCACCACCATTTAGTGGAATATACTGGTAGGGATGCTCCACGGCCCAACCGGACAGGAAAAGGACTCCGGCAGGCTGCAGCCAGCAAAAAGGGTTGTCATTGGCTGCACCACTGACATTCAGTGCTTTCTAAGGGAAAAAAGAGCTAAAAAATAACAACCAACTATCTCATATCAGACATACAGATGCTGCCAAACGTCAAGGCTGAACTGGACTCAAGTCAGAACGAGAAGGTGCTTCCCATGGATTTATACCAGGGGTAGTCACCACAGGCACTGCTACCATTCTAAAGAACACTCAACCTACCTTCCCTGTAGAAGAACGAGAAGAAGTTGTGGCTTAATAATGAAACATGTCAGTTATTCCCTGACCTTGATTAAATGTTGATAACGCTCGGTTAAAATCTACAGCGTGTGCAGGGCAGCAATTACATTCCGTGGGAAATGCTCCCCTGAGGCTCCTCTCGTACCTTCAGTAGTCACAGGTCACCGTCGGGGGACTGAGCTTCTCGCCTGACAAGCAGCTAAATATTTAGAAGTTCAGAGTAACTGCAGTCCCATGCAGAGGGGCTCCGAGCGCGAGGCACTTATCTTGCCTGCAAGGCTGAAGCTGTTTGTATTAACGCCCATCGCCGCCCCGCGTTCCCCGGGCTCCCCGTGCCCTCCTCAGTCCGCACGCGGCTCCCCCACCTGCTCTCCGGCTCATGTGTTTTGCTAGGCTGGAGCTACGTCCACCACCGAGTTCTACGTTTACGCATGCATTTCATGAGGAAACTCATAGGAATTCAGCTCTCCTCAGCTGGCTTGCTTGGGAACGGGCAGCAGGGAGCAGGAATCACGGAGCAGAGTGGGATCCAGCAGAGCAGGGTGGGAAACAAGGTTGGAAACTGGGTGCCAGCTGAGGGCCAACCCCTTGAGGGCTTGGCCCCGGGGCCGAGCAAACGCAGATCTTGGCCCTCCTGCCTGCCTGGGCAGCACCAGGCTCTGCCCTTGGTGCCTTTGGCCACCCCCGGGCCGCTGGGCCAGAGGCAGGTACGCGGCCAGCTGCGCCTCACCAGCACAGGGCGGCAGCTAGAGCCTTGTGGGCAGAGGGCCTACCCAGATCCCCTGGCACGGGCATTTCCACCCTCCTCCTCCCAGATTTTCAATGGTGCTCTGCTTTGGAAACACATCCCAGACACCTGGTCAGCAGCTACACTCTGCCGTGGTTTTCCTGACAGCCTTCCGAGCAGCTGCTGTCCTGGGGAACAGCAAACACCGAATCCCCTTCAAACGGACTCTGTTCAGCGGGCTCCTCTGAAGGCCCAGAGCCAGCCAAAAGCAACTACCTGGCACCAGACGTGTACGGTTTAAGTCACTTCCACCCGAGGCTTCATGACCTTGGACAGGCCCCACACGAGGCGCGGGGGGCAGAGCAGGCAGCCGAAGCCAGGTCTCTGCACACAAACCACCAGCCCATCTCTCGGCAGGACCTTCCTCAGGCCTGGGCAGGCTCCCCTGGGCAGCTTCCGACCGGAGGGCTTGGTTAGAAAGATCTGACAAATCTCCATAAGAGGGAGTCGTTTATAGGTCCAATTAAAACAAAACATTGCTTTAATGTTAGTAAGACAGTACCAACAGGTGAGCCGAAAGAGCAAAAGTTTGTTTATAGAGTTAACCCACGGCATTTTCTCTGCTTACCTTCAGCACCGTGATATTCCAGGCAAAACTTTCGATGGCTTTGCTTAGCTTCCTGCCCTTCAAGCCTTCCTTCGCGCCGAGGTTATGCAGCTCTTCGTGGAACTCCATCCCTGGGAAGCGGAGCCGCGTGTGAGCCGCGAGCAGCCCCAGAGCCCTCGCGGCGTCCCGCGCCCGCCCCGGGAGCGGCCCGCGGCTGCTCAGCAAAGCCCGGGAATCACTGCTTGCTGTTGCAGGGTTCTGTGGCAAAAGCCTGCAAATCTTTAGCTGGAAACGGGAATCCTGGAAATCCGGGATCAAATAAAAACCTTTATGAGTCCGATTAGCCCAACAGCCCTGGAAGGCTCGCCCAGTGTATGCAAACACTCCCGTGAGGCTGCAGTGGGTGAGGAGGTGGCTGCCTAGGTTCCCTTCAGCTGTGCTTTACCAAGGCCAAAGCTGCACCAGATCACTCCCAAGCAGCTAGGGCCACTCAGGCAAATAAGCTGAGGTCAAGCCCAAGCTGTTCCAGGGTTATCCCTCCTCTAATGCACTAAGATAAATGTCTCTTTCCTAAGGAAAAAAGAGAACAGACTTGAGAAATCGATCTTCATGGTGGGGCTTGCATGGTGCTGGGAACCCTGCGCACACTCCTGGCACACGCGGCCGGGCTCTGCTCCAAATCCCGACACCTGGGGATCGCAGCCAGCCCCAGGGCTGCCTCCAGAGACCCCAGTGCAGAGGGCTGGGCCAGGTCCCAGCCCGCTCCTGCACCACATCGGAACTCAGCTAAACGCTACTGCTGAAACCACTTTCAGATTTCCTCTAATTAAAACGATGAACTAAAGAGCTCACTACAAAGCATCGGTTTCATTCATTATTTACATTTAATAGAAGCAAATGGCTGTGGCCTGTGTTGCTTGCCAAATCTGAAAATGCTTATTAAAAACGGCAGCATTTGTGCTTGTTATGGTCTCGCAAGAGGATGCCCACAAACCAGCCCTGCATGCAGCAGCGTGTGCATTCCTGACCTGAGCGGCTCGCTGCGGGTTACAGAAAGTGCAGCCATACAAACGTACCCATTAAAACAGATCTAAATCAGCAATGCAGCCCCTAAATAAATACACTGCATGAATTTATTCTGCGTGGTTTCTGACATGCACAAACTGATATATTTAGCTGCAGAGACCTGGGCTGGCCACTTCCCAAACCTCTTCCCATTCCACTAGTGCGTGCAAGTCCATCCCAGGGCTGCCCCAGGACCACGTAACTGGCTTATTTGAGCACACGTGCTTTGGCTTGGGCCTGTGGAACTTGTATCTATAATACACATCAACACAGCTTTAAGTATGATGCAAGACAATTATCTTGGCACCAGTTTCCAAGCTCTGAAATAAACCTCCATGGGAAAGTCAGTCAAGGCGAAGGGCAGGGGAAGCAGGTAGCACCACGGGCTTCAGGGGCTTTGCCTGCTGTGCATGTAAGGGGACAACTGGCAGCAAATAGAGCTCAAAGGGGCTGCAAGCTGTGAGAAGGCCGCAGCCCATTTCTCCCTTCCACGGAGAGCAGCACGGCACAGACAGGTTACCTGCTTTCTGACACTGCACAATCTTGTCATGAGTGATGTCTGCTGTTTCAATAAGCAACTTGCTCTCCTGGATCATCTGTCAGAGAACAAATGGAAAACAAGGGCATTAGTAGACTTCCCGCATCATCGACGCCATGAAAGGGCATCGCAAGGCAGCACGGCGAAGCCTGGTCCCTCCTCTGCATCAGATCTCCCAGATCGTGGAGTGACAGATGCTCAGGAAATGTTTTGCTTTCAAAGCTGCAGAACAGCTGTTTGACCCTGCTGTAAATAACATGAAGGAAACAGAAGTGGTCGCAGGAGAAAACAGAGTTAGTAAGGAAAAAAAAAGAAAAAGAGAGAGAGAGAAAACCTGTGACATTGAACTCTTCCTAATCAGTCATTTTCTTTAAATGAAATAAACATAGTCCTCAACATAAGTGGTTATCAAAAATGTAACCAAGTCATAAATACATTGATTTCAAGAAGCATCGAAGCCTTTGCTTAGCTTTGGGCACTATAGTGGTTCAAACAGCTACAGTATTTTTCAAGCTTCCCCTTGCAGGAATTCAGACCCAGACGCAATGGCTTTATCAAAAACTACCCTGCATGAGCATCAGGAGAGGATTTACAGAACAGCAAAACTGACACAGGGCTTGCGAGGCTCGAGTCCCGGGAGCAGGTGTCATGTTGAACACGCTAATGGTGGCGAGGAACATGAGACTTCATCCACATGTGCTGATCTTTCCCAAAAAACAGATCATTTCATCGAAATATTCCCATGGAATGCTGAAAACAGGACACCTAGGCTTGGCTCATCTTATCCACCATTAAAATCATGGGGGCTTCTCCCAAAGACCTGGCTGGGAAGGGCTGCTGCAGACCCAGTGGCGCTCTGCTCTGTGGGCACTGAGACCAGTTTTGCAGAAAGTATGCTCTTAAATAAATAAACACATAAATAAATGTGATTGAAGCTTAAAGCCTTTGGTTTTTCACTCACGGTAAGTCAACAGGAATATTTCTTGCACACAAAAAAAACGTTGTTTAGTCACAGAATCAATACAAATGGCCAAAAAAAAATGTCATTTCTTTTTACTTTACTGAACTCCTGCACGAGAAACCAATTTCGTTCTTTTGTTATGAACTATCCTGCCAACCGAAAAGGGGAAGGGGAATTAGCACAGCAGTCTCTCACCCAAAAAAAAAGAAAAAAGACAAAAAGGCAGGAAAAACTCCTGGTGGCAAATTAAAGCATGGCTCCTGCCGGGAAGATAAATGATACGGAAGGGGAAATTCAAAGAGCCTCCTCATAAATATTCCAGCCAAGCCACTAGGCATGTGCTGGCAGGGCTGGTGACAGGCAGGGCTGCCTGTCCGGGAGAGGGGAGCACTGCTGCTCACCCACACGCTGGGCTCCTGCTGTCCCGGGGCTCCCGAGAACGGTGCCGTCCACCCGGAGCGCTCAGGAGCGCTCAGCACCCCTTACCCGCACAGACTGCCAGGGAAGCGCATAAAGCTAACCCCAAATTCTGATTTCTCATATTTTTGCTTAGAAGTATTTCTGGGGAAATTTAAAGCAGTTGTGCTTAAAGACAGAGAATTATAGAAGGAGGAAAATGGAAACAAAAAGCTGCTTTGCCAGCGTAGGTCCCATTTTGGATACAAAGCTCTTGAAATCAGACTGTAATTCAACACGAACGCCCATGCACTGGGCTCTGCCTGACGTCAGCGGAGCATCGCACTCGCTCGGCGGTGAATGTTGTGCTCCGCGATACCCCTTGTCTTCGGCTCAGAGCACTGTGAAAAATGTCCCTCTGGGGAGGACACTGTCCCTGCTGAAATATGGATTTCACTGGAAAAGTTTACTAAAATCTGCTCCATCATTTTGCATATGCGTAAAAAGGGAAAATCAATTTTCTCCGAGGGAATAAATATCCATCCTGCCTGCCCAAAGACACAGAGTCCCAACAGGAGCGTGTTCGGAGCAGGAGGGCAGGCAGAGGGGGCAGCACCTCTCCGACATCCCCATTCGCCCGCCTCCACCAGCCTCCAACGTCTCTCCCAAACACGCTAAAAAATCATTTCCCTGTCCAACCTTTCTGCACTTCTCATTACTGGAGATTCAAAAACATCTAAAGAATTATATGGACGCTTGTGGAGCTCCTTTTATTTTTATAGAAATACTTCTGTATGCCCAGGAGATTTGGGCAGAAACAAGAACATTTATTACCAGTTGTTCGTTGCTTTGAATTTTCAAATGATTCAGCCATCCAGTCTTGGAGGAAAAATCATGGTGAACCAACCACTGACAAGCAAAGTGCACAAGCACCGCTAAGTTAATACGTGCTTGCATCAGCAAATTAATATACCATGCAGACCGAGAAACCACAATCTGTTTCTGAGCGATTCTCAACCAAAAAAATTCTACTTCGCAGTGTAAGTGCTTGCACTGAATAACTCAGCCATCTGTCACTCCCAGCTGGGCCCTGTCCCTTTTGTCCTTTCCAGAGGCCTCCTCCCTTGGGGCCGCCGGGGAGCCCCGTTGCACGGGCTGCGGAGCGGGGCGCCGCGGCCAGGCCTCGAAAGCCATTAGGGTTCCTTAATCGGAGCACGTTAATTCCTTCTCTGATAGGGGCTCTCTCTTTCTCTCTCTCTCTCAAAAAAACAAAATAAAGCCCGAACCCAATGGTAAAATTAATTGTCCAAGACAAAACAAAGCGGTTGCTGTCTCGCGCAGCTGCCCGTGAAGCCGGGCCCTCGGGAACAGACCCTGCCCTGTCCTCGAGGCCGTGGGGACAGGCCTCGCAGCATTCGTGCCACCACTCGCCTCAGCCGTCAGCGCGCTCTGGGCCCCCTTCGTAACACTGGAAGAAGTTACACTTTTCTTGAAAAAAAAAAAAGACGTTCTGATGGTGGTATCTAGTGAGTGGGGAAAACGCACAATGGTAGTTTTCATCAGAGATTACTTTCCAAGCAGAGTTTTTAAGCCTGCGAAATCCGCGATGCTTCCCGAGGTGAGGGGAAAGGCTGGGTTGGCCCTTGAGCTCCGGCGCGCTGCGCCCAGGCAGCAAGGCAGGCCCTGCCTTGGCCACCACAGTTCTGCTGTGAAAGGCAGTAAGAAATAGAGCCCATCGGGGCAAGAGGGAGGCTATTTGTCAAGCTGCTCTCAGACCTCTTCCCCCAAAAAGCACTCTGGGGTGAACAGGAATTCCTGGAGTTAAGGAGATGCGCAAGTGCGCCGATCCAGTTCTTTGAAGTCACATTTATCAACAGCTTAACAGGTTGAACTGTGGCACACCACATCTTTAAAAACCATACCCAAGACATCTTATATTGTATTCCATATAGCTACTGAGTCTTCCTTCCTGGATGAAAGCACAAAAAATGATCCCTTTCTCCTTAAACTGCTGCTTCTCCTTCTGTTCTCAAGTATTCTTGCAGGCTCCCTGAAGCTTCTGGCTTGTGCTGCACAACCATTTCCTTATTAAGAAGAATTGGGCCCTGGATCTCTACAAACCCCACAAAGGATCCTTACTCAATGTTAAGTCAGTAAATCCCTCCCCGAGGCACAAATGTTGTCTTTTTACATGTCAAGATCGATGCAGACAATTCTTTTTTTTTTAATACAGAAAAGACAAAAGAGATTTCCTCAAACCAACCTTCACCCAGGTTTCTTCTCTTCCCAGTTGCTGACTCTGAACCTCCCGCCTCTTCTCCATCAGAGACAAAAATGACCGTAGATGTTACTTAAAAGTAGTTACACAATGGTTTACAAATGTTCTCGCCTGCATCTGAAAAACGCCTTTCACCTACTGAAATGAAAAGGCTATTTCCAGAGCACAGGATGGCCTCGAAAGGTCCCGTGCGTACCCTTCGGAGCAGATAACCCGCCACAGTCATTCCGGTGCGTCTGCGTAAGCGGCCTTCCAAACACAAAGAGCTTCCTTATTTTTGTGGTAATCTGCTGTCTCTGGCAAACATCATACCGCGTAACAACTCAATCTAAAAAACAGTCAAACCTAAAACACGGTGAACAGGATTTTTACGTCTTCATCCTGCTGTTGCCACACCTGATATTTTATTACCAAAACTTAATTACCTTCTACCAGGACTGAACTATCTTGGGAGGAACCTGAAGGTTATTTCGGAGTATTTTCGGTGTTTTTACCTTTAAATCTCTCAATGCCTCCCCTTTCCCCCTAGTCTGTTTTGCCTTGGAAAGTGCACTATAACAGCAACACACTAAATCTGGAAAGGAGAAGTGCCTCTGCAGACTGAGCATCACCCACCCTTCGTGCTGCTTCGAGGTCTCCGGAAGCAACGTGACGGCCCCAAAGCTACTCCCCACTTTGTGTGTCACCACGAGAAGCTGCTGCACTGACTGCAGCACACCCTGCAAGCTGCGCCCGCCGCGCACAGCTGGGCAAGGCAAGAGGCACCTACCAGGTCGTAGGCGGCCAGGACCTTCTTCTGCACGTCGGGCACGGCGCCCAGGGGCTCCAGGTGGGGAAAGGCATCCTTCATGCAGAGCGTGACGGAGGGCAGGTTGTCGGCGCCCACGAGCCGCGAGGACAGCGTGAGGATGCACTGCTTCAGGCTGGCGATGGGCGGGAGCCCGCACAGCTCCTTCACCGACACCACTGCGTTCTGCGGGAGGCAAGAGACACCCTGAGCGCGTCCCCGCTGCCGTGGCGCCCCGCTTCCGCGCGCGGGCTTCCTGGCCATCGGAACGGCCTCCTCAGCACCTGGGGGGTTCAGGAGCAAGCCGTGCTTTGGGCTGGCTATGCGCCTAACACAGCACTGCTGGGATCAAGGAATGCTTCAGGACTAAGGGGTGACTCACGAGGAGCAGAGGAAAGAAAAGGGGCCGTCTCCCTCCTCATGACTTGTGGAACATTTCTGCCTCAGCAGGGACAAGGTTTGGTCTCCAGTGTATTAACCAACCTGCCTAAAACACCATTTCTCCAGCGTGCAGCTCCCAATTGCTTTGGAAGCAATAATCAGCCATTATCCTCCTCTGGCAAGAACAAGTCTGACAGACCTCGGATTTCCCGTGGGAAAGGCAAGCAGGAAAAAACACTCTCTTTCCAGCCCCGCATTAGCACATCATAGAGCAGCAGAAACACTCCTTCCCTGTCAGAGGTCACGTGTAAGAAAATCAATATTGGATACACGGGTCGGACCAAACTAACACGACAGAATTTACTTATCATCCAAGTCAGTGGGCTTGGGGATGACTTTCCTTTGAAATTTAGCTTTGGTTGAGTCATACTATGAGCACATATGTATTTTGTGCATGCTAAGCCGCAGGAAATCTAGGAAGAGAATATTGTAACAAGCCAGAGCACCCAAGTGCTGTCCCACAACATCTTCCCGAAAAAAGCAGCCATCAGACAATGCCCAAACCAATAATCGAGGCTTTCTCCATTAATCAAACAGATTAGCCCAAAGTTAAACCCAATGACTGTGTCTTCCAGAAAGCATTCCTGAGAATGGAGCTCTCCTACAGAAACATGGCCCGGGAGGCCAGTGAATGCTATTTTTGAGCCTGATTCAACAAGGACTTTCTTTCATACAGTTCATGTACCTAACTCTGACCTAGACAGAAGGTGGAGTCAGAGGTTCAGACTTACCAGGCCCGCGGGGAAAGAAAGTCTGGGAAGAGTTTTCCATTCTTAAAAATATGCTAAGGACAGTCCTTTGGGAGACATTTAAAACTTATGTCATTGTGTAAACTTTCCCAGCTGCCAACATTTAATTTGCTTTAGACTCTGTCCAGAAAAGTGGGGTCAGTCAAGTTTTATGCATTTTTCTCCTGTTTTCAAGAGAGGGAAGTGCGTTGTTTCTGTAGCTTTACCAAGGAGACAGCTATGGTTGATTGCAGCTACTTATGCAGGAAAATTCACTGTTTGGTGCTGCTCAGCTTTGTTTCTAGGCAGCCCCCGGTACTGGACTGACCATTACTGAACCCGTGGGCTGGTCCTGCTGGCACCGAGCACGCGTGCGGCCAAAGCATCGTACCTGCACGTTCTCCCTCAGGTCCGTGGCCTCTCGCAGCGGGTGCACGGCCAGCTTGAAGACGTCGTCGATGGTCTTGAGGCCAGTGCTCCTCAGCATGGTGTACTCCCTGGCCTTCTTCCCGATGCGCACTGAGAGGCTGCGCTTCTGGGCCTTCCCGCCGCCGCCGCGGCTGGTCAGCGCAATGTGGACAAACAGCGTCACGTGCTCCATGATGTCTCCGACGAACGAGCGCAGCGGGATGTGCCTGTAGCCCGGCTGCAAGCACTCCAGCGGGAGGGTGTACTGGCCGATGAACTCGTCCCCGATGTAGTCGTCGTCCAGCACAACGAAGCGGATCATGGCAAGCTCCGGTAGGTTGATCTGGAACTCAAAGCTCTCATCAAAAATGGGGTTATCACTGT